CGAGGAACTGCTAAACGAAAAAAAGCGATCCAGTGGTAACTGAGTTATGGCTGCGCCACGCACTCGACGTCCATTCAGAATCGCAGAGGCATGAAATTGGCCCGAAATCGACCTGCAAGAGATCGATATTTAGTCACCAGATGGTTTCCGTGAGGCTTCAAAATGAGATAACTTATTTGGTTGTCCCTTCGAAATCCGCCACTATTCTCGGATACTGTTAGGTGGTCTTTGAGCTCATAGAGGTTCCCTCCAACATACTGGCTAGAACTGCCATATTCAAACTCTCCAAAATCTGACAAGGCCGAGAAACCTTGTCGAGTACTGTTGTACTGCCTCAAAAAAAACTCGACCTTGGCTACATTAAAGAAGGATCCCGACTAATTGGAGCCTGAAAAAGCGGATGTACCTATCAGAAAAGGAGGTAGATCTTCTCAGGGTGCGGCAGGAAAATCACGCAAATGCGCAAATCACGGCAAAGGGTGGAGACGTAGGACCTTAAACGCGGCGCTCGTGGCTCTCCACGCCCACTGATTGGCTATCCCCTCGCCGTTGGACTCTAGCAGCAAACTCCAGCTGCCTCAGTAGGGCAGAACGTTCACGCTGATGACTTCAGCACCAACGAGAATCACCCCAATGCGGAACTCAACAGGAACAACGGGGTCCCATTTCACGAGTTTTTGGCCGTTCCATTGCTTTTTCTTCTTCTCTTTTATCACCACTACCTCTAACTCCAACGGCTCAATTCATCGCAAAATTCGCCTTTAATCCAAAAATGGCTAGTTCCAATTTATCGCCTTCGTTATCGTTTATTCAAATGCTTATGCTATTCAAATGCAAATGCTATTCTGATTTTTTACTCTCAACTGTAGTTGATTGACCTGGAAGTCTGATCCGTGAATTGAGCTTTGGTAGCCCAGCCACTGTTAACTAAACATGTAGGTGAACAAGGCGGATGCTCTCCTGGTAAGTGGTGTCGTTTCACGCATATGGCCCCGAGATAATATCAAACCAATTCTCGCTTGCAACTGAGCCATCAATCCCTTCAGGGATAACAAATTAGGGTGAAAATGTAGTTCGGGGGGGGGGGCACCCTATCTAATCGAAGTGAAGCTGCGGAAAGACACTCATATCTAATCAAAGTAGAGTTGCGGGAAGGCACTTATATCTTATCATATCTTTCACTAAGACCGTGACCACTGGACTAGTACGTCATATGGTCTAGGGCTAAAATGGCTGCTGCTACCTGCTGGCTCCTTACTTTCATCAAACCTTCTTGCGACTGCCATGCAAAGCCCTCGAAGAAAGGGCCTCCCAGGTATCCGATTTTGTATGGCACGGATTGGTATCCCTATCTAATCATACACTCAGAGACTGTGCTCTGGATGGTGATTAGATATGACCGCCCTACCGCAGCTCCACTTCGATTAGATATTATGAGTGCCCCTCCCCAAACTACATTTTCACCCAAATTAGTATCTGGTATGGGGCGATAAAAAAACACTGACTGACTGTACATCGTCACCCGCGAGTCCTTGCATACGTCCAAATCACTCTCAAATGCCAATGACGTTCCTGAAGGAAGGTAGGACGGATGGCGCAACTTGGAAAAGAGTGGGCAACGAAACAAACGCTGCTTCACCGGGGTTTCATTCCGCTATGTTCCTTTTCATTTAATTCTTTTTTATGTTGATGACCGTAATAACTGCTCATGAACGAACTCTTTATTTTAACTCCGAAATCCTTTCCTACCGAGAAAGTTGAGGTTGCTTTTGTCCAGCTATTCATGTGATCACGTAGATGCGTTTTCAGTGCACGAAATAACTACCACACCGGGTAGACGTTTGAGCAAACTGTCGACGGCGTAGGTACTGTCCCCTAGCATTCACAAACGCACGTCTGCTTTCAAGGAACGTGCGTATTTCTGGGGGCACAGTACCCATCCATGTTTGCTGTTCGCATGAGACTAAGCAACTCAAATTCTGACATTCAGAAAATACATCAACGGCCCATCTATGAACTTCCCTCGCCGCAAGGAAGCCTCATCATTCACCTTATTTTCAAGCATAGAGGCTTTGTCAGGGTATGGAGCACCTTCATGAAACATTTCCCGCATGCTTGAGAACGCATACCAGTTGAAACCAAACTGAACACAAAAACTCAATTGTCTGCCATGTTTTTCGGAGGTTAAGACGAGCGCGAGGCTCCGCTACTCAACACACTTACAGGGTGGGGCAAAATTACTGGTGCACCTATACGTTTTGAATTTTTTAACACTTCTTGGAGATTTTCCTGTTTTCACTCGCTTGTGATATGTTGCCTGGAGGTTGCGTAATTCCTACGTACTCGAATACAAAATGGTCCGTCGTTCTGACCTACGGAGCGCGATCATCAAACTTCACAACGACGGCAAGCAAACAAGAGAAATTGTGAAGATCCTTTCCGTACCTCGAAGGACGGTTCAGAATACAGTACGACGCTATAAAGAACTGAAGACCGAAGAGGACAGGGAAGGAAGAGGACGTCCCACAACAGCTACGAGTCGGAGAATTGAGGCTCGTAGCTGTGTGCTCGGGAGCGTCCACTTCCGGTGAGTGCTCGTCAGAGAAAGAATTCGAAGGAACGCCAGGAGATCGATGCGCCAGATGGCGAAAGACGTTGGAGTAAGCGCGAGGTCAATGAGGAGGATTGTCAGAAGTAAGCTAAGGAAGTTCCCCTATCGCTTGCAGAAATGCCAACTCCTGACGGACATTATGAAGAAAAGGAGATTGGAGAGATGCAAGAAGTTGCTGCAGCGATTCACGGTGGCACGCGCCCGAGACATCGTTTTCAGTGATGAAAAGATTTTTACTCTGAATCCAGCCTTTAACTGAGACTCCAGGAAAGAGCGAAACACCCCCAGTCCATTCTTGTTTGGGGAGGAGTCACCTCTACGGGGAAGACCCCACTTGTTTTCGTTGAAGCTGGTGTAAAAATCAACGCAGAGGTTTACAAAAATATCCTGGAGGAAGTTCTCAAGCCGTGGGCCAACTCCCATTTCGGAGAAGCCTACTGGTGCTTCCAGCAGGATTCTGCTCCAGCACACAAAGCAAAGATGGTCCAGGAGTGGTGCGCCGAGCACCTGCCCGACTTCATCAGACACGACGAATGGCCCTCCAGTTCTCCTGATCTAAACCCGATGGATTACTCTGTGTGGTCCATCTTGGAGAGCAAAGCGTGTTCTACCAGACATCCAAACTTGGACTCTCTTAAGGCGGCGCTTTCAAAATCTTGGGACGAAATCGATGACCAGTACCTGCGTGCCACATGCGAAGCATTTGTCGAACGTCTGAAGGACTGTGTGAAGGCTAAAGGAGATCATTTTGAGAAGCATTAACATTTTTTGTATTGTCATGTTTGTAGTAAATAATATTGATAATTAGAATTGATTTGTGAGAATTATTGTCAAAATGCCATTGAAAATTTAGTGCACCAGTAATTTTGCCCCACCCTGTAGGTCGAAAAAAGGTCAAGCCTGAACGACAGATGTCAAAAATTTTAGATCCCCAACTTCTGGAGGGCCCCGATCGACCGGCGGGCCCCCCGAAATCAACCCATACCGTGTTTATTTTTGGAAATTTTTTACGAGCCCCCTCCACCACCATGAGACTCAGGAGGTTCACGATTAACGACCACCTCCCTCGCCATCAGAGCTGTTACTATAGTATTTGCTTCTAAGACCAGTTGACACTGCCCAACTCCACCCACATTCCTAATTTCCTCCAAAGTAGCCGTCGAGCGGGAGGGGGGAGGGAGGGAAGGTATATATCAACGTATACATCAACAGTGAGATCTCTTTGGTGTAGGATAGACCTGCTTCCGACTTTGCGTACCCCCCCCCCATTTTCGGTCGTATACGACCCCCAGTTAGACTTTGTCCAACGGACGGTTGACCCGTGGTCGAGAGAGCAACGCGGCACAGCGAGACGCAGACTGATGACGGTGGGCGAGCATTGTTGCAGGGGACGTGCGTTGTCACAAGTCATAAGCCCATTGCACTATTGCAGCCTTTGAGTGGTGAATGTCCACTATTTTGTATTATCTTTCCGAACCCACCTACCTTACTCATGAGAGGGCTTATTCTACTCAAGCCCAGGTTGGGAATGTGCCCTCAGGTGGAGGGTAACCGCCACTGTTTCGCTCTACTACTCGTCAGAAACGATTGAAAGCAGATGTGCAATATCATTGAGGACCATTCATGCCACTTGATGAGTGGCAGGAGGGCACAACATACAATTTATTAAACTCTTTGTGGAGCAACAAAATCCTCAAGATACACCATTCACAAAATCTCATCAAAGACAGCCTCTATGTCGCGGTCGCCGTTCGGCTTCAGACACCTCTCGGCATAAAGAATTTCCTCAGATACTCTCATAACGTCAACAATGATTTAGTGCAAAGAATTCATGAATCATGATACTTTCCCAGAAATGAGTAACTGCGTGCCAGGCCTCGCCCACATAAGGAGGTCCAGTGAACATGAACAAATAACAAGGCGATGACTCATCATGAGTCAAATGAGAAACAAATCTCTTCGAACACCTCACTAACTCACTGTTACACAACCGAACGCATAATGTGCAAATATAACCGTCTGAGTAAGCGAAAGTGGGATGGCTAGTCTTTCACAAGATGCACTACTTATGAACTCTCACATGACTAATACATTTGAACTCTAGTGACATGGGAAATTGAACTGAGGCGTACCAATAACAACCCATTCAAACAAAACCTATCAAAGGACGTTCATGAATTACAACTTTAAACAGAGTAGTAAACGGAACAACTAGAAGAAATCACCAGCAGTAGGGCGGGTGGATGTTCCGCTGTCATCAGTAGACACAGGCATAAGATTATCGGTGATTGACGACGCTGCTGCTGGCTTCCTGGGCTTACTCGTTCACGTATCTCAGGATGTCCTTCGCGATTGGAGTATTCGATCCAGATTCATAAAGAACAGGAGGTCAGTTCGTAGAACTGCCCACACTCTTCAAAAATGAGTATATAGGATTTGGAAAAAGAAGAACAATTCCCCGACAGTGATGATAGAGCAAAATTACCTAGTAGGCGTGAGCACGCGTAGATGGTGAGCGGACGACGGTAAACGTATGCCGAGTTTGTTCGAAGCCAGGCGGCGAGCTGCTGGAGATAGTGTTGCCATCGACAGAGTGGAAGAACGAGCCGAACCGAATCGCGGTGTTCTACTGAAAAAGATATGAAATTACGCTCCTGGGTCGCATCACTGGGTGCATCTATCCCGTCTGAAAGAGCCTTACTGAGCCTTTTCAGCAGTCTCCATCGCAGCACGTCGTTTGTCACGATAATCGTTTAGCGATTGTGTCGGTTATTCCTTGGGCAACCTGCTCACGGAACGGCACCTCAGGCATCTGAAAACGAAATTTTACATATTCGAAGAAGCAAATAAAATAAGTTGACGATTTTGTACTACACTGGTGTGCAAAAGTTATGACGTGTCACTGGTGAGTTACATAACCCTATGGAACCTAACCACGCATAGGAAGAGCTACAACAGTACAGTACAGAACACAATTGACAGGACGATCACGAGCTGTCATAAGGGTATTTTACTTCATTTATCTCCTGTCTTTGTCGCCTAAATATAGCTTTAACACATTCACTGTTACTCAGGTGGAGCTTCCCTATCTGACTAATAAATCATGTAGGAATCAATTAATAGATTTATGGATTCTCCTTTCGGATGTGTCATGCCTCAAGATTATGATTTATTTTATTATAAGTCAGGTACTTGCGTAGCATAAAAAAAACTAAAAGAAAAGAAAAAAAAAAAAAAAAAAAAAACAGCCTGGGAAACACAGATCAATGGTGATATCAGTCCAATCACAAACACAATCAGAACAAAACAGGTTAAAAAAGAAGAAAAAAAAGAAAACAAAGCTAGAATGAAAATAAAAGAAATAAGAGAACTATAATGGTGACCAACCTCCATAGTGACTATAGTGTTAGAGAAGTAAAACACTAACCCTTATATACAGAACCGCAGACGTTTCTGCTCGTATCAAAGCAATGACCCCAGTTTAAATTGGTGGGGTAAGCAGTGATTGATAATAATGGCTGTGGAAAAAACGTGCTTATACGATTTTTTGAACCCCAACAATGCGGTGAGGCTACCATACTCATCTACGTATCGGCTGTCCTGTTCGCTACGTCGTAATCCACATTTTGCTGAGATGCGAGCCGAGGCATCGCGCTCCATAAGTTGAGATTAGTCGCCATAGGTTCACTTTGTGAGGCCCTAGCGCCATTGCCGCGCACTCCCAAAACACGAAAACGGTCATCTGTGATACTACTACTGGCCTACTCTATCCCGACCCAATTAGAACAAAATTTTTAACGCTTTACTAAGGTTTTGCTTTAAACTTACAGTTGGACAATGAAAGGCGTTGCCCCACTTATACTGCAACCTTACGTTCATTTGCTCCGTGTCTGCGTTTCGCTTGGCTCAGCGCTTCCTATTCACCTTTTCACTCTACCCCTTTCTTGCTATTCGATGCTTGACCCTCACATTATATCTAACTCATTCTAAAAGGCATCTTATCCAGACATGCCAATGCAACGGAAGCCTTTTCAAATGGACAAGACACATTACCTTGAACGTAGGGCCATTTCCGATCGGTGCTTGGAATATCAGAAGCATCCAAACGAAAAGGAGTTCCATCAATCTCTCCCCATGTCATCAAAGGTGAATCATCGATGCCTGGAAGTTAATGAAAAATGACTAACGTTCACAATTTATCGATGATAAGATGTCATAAAGTCATAAAAATTCGAACAAACTAAAAACACACCTGGAGCAGGGCTTGGTGTCGCTACCAGACCTAAAGTTTTGCTATTCAATCCGACTTCGTGACCTTGCGCATCCACTTTTCCTGCGTTGTTGGCAGCCTGCATATTACTAGCACGAGCTGAGCCTGAATTATCAACATTCTGTTGTCAAAAATTCCCATGATGCAGCCAGTACTTGGTATCAGAGCAGTAGTTCAATCCTGGCTTCAGAGCTGAAGAATCTTACTGCTCTCTTTACTTTAACCCCGCGCTGTCGTAGCGATCGCTGCTCTTGAATTGCCTCCTAACCAAGGCATTATCCTGCCATGGCTTAGGCCTTCTCATAGTTGCCCCGACCGGAGCTGTGATGTTTCAGTTTGCTGAAAACACCTAATCTGTGGCCGCGCCTCCTTAGCACGTGTCCATGTCCAGTGCAGTCGATACGCTCGCGTCTTCAGTTACAGAAACCGTGTGCATGGCCTCACTACTGACCAGGTGCAATGGGCCCAGCCGGAAGCGCAATCTAACATACCCGTTCTGTAGAGTGTGAAGCTGCGTGTACGGCTCTTAGTGTTGGACGCGCTCTGCCATGGAAGCATACAGATACTAACGCCGCCCATTACACCTTCTCTTCGAGCACCCTGGAGCATCGTCGATCAGGACAATATCAGAGAGTTCCATACTCTTCATGTGTGCCACTTTTATTCAGATTTTTCGTGGCTGACCTACTTTGATTCGGCCCCCCCCCCCCCCCACCCCCAGCTTTGAGTGAATTGATCGCTAAAGTAGCTGTACGGTATGCGCAGTCAGCTGGATTTGAAGCACTTTGAATATCCCGTGACTTTCCCGTTCTCTCATGATGCTTTTGCTGATGGCTGCGATAATCTAGCTTTGACGAATCCCTTCTTACTTACTGTGATCTGGAATTGATCAAGCCATGCTATCCCCACGACTCTGATTCGCCTCCCATACCTAAACTTGGTGCCCCTTCTGGACAAACGGCCTCCAACATCTACCTACATATTTCTCAACAGGTTTCTCTAATCGACGTGCAATTCAACCGAATTAGAAGTGGCGCTGGATGCGAACATTTTAAGCGGGGGAAACTCTGTTGGAAGATGCGTAAGCCCTTTCTCGTTTCGTAACTCGAGAGAGCTTGGTCATGACGACTTCATCATTGCATTTTACACCCTTCAGTGAAATGTTTGGGGTAATCTGGTGCCGGGCATTATTTTTAATCGAATTTTTAATGATAGCCCCATCAAGTAAAGGGTTTCCGCATTGAGAACGCAGAACGAGTAATGAGTGACGATCCTCGTCACAAGTATGCGGTCGAGTAAACCCTTCAATTCTTTACCCAACAGGACGAACTAAATCTGAATTCGCGGCAATTGCAGCTTATGGAACAACACGTCTCCATGTCTCGCAAGCCTTTCAACATTGAGTGGACGGTGAGATCACCTCTTTCCATAATCATGCTGGTCTCCTAACTTTCTCTCGGGTCTAATCCACTGTATGATGATCTTATTAGCACTTTCAGATTTACTGGACTGAATTGTGACGGAGTAGTAAACCAGCTTCCACTAGGCCTTATTTAACCCATTCGTGACAATGTCAGCCACCGGTGGCTGACAAAGCTCTCACTCGGGACAATGGCATTACTGTGGCTGCAGGGCTTGAAATGGAATTTGGAAAGTTTTCTTCCATGGAAAGAATCTTCATACCCTCGCTCATCTACGCCAGCCCTGGGCAGAGGAAATCTCCCTTCACTCGGATTTTATTGAAAAAAATCTGACGCTGCTGCTATTGCGCAATCCTGCGCGGTCGCGAATGGGTTAAAGGCCGATCTTCTTCGCTTGGTGTGGCTTCCACCATTGAAATCTCGCTCCGTTATTACCCTTGTTCCTTAAAGAGATCTATGCCTCGGTCTCTCTGGCATATGCTCAGGAGCCCAAACAATGAGAACGAATGAAAACGGTGTTTGTCCCAACGAGCTAACAGACCTGGTAGGTCAAAGGCTTGGTAAAATAACTAAAATGAGAGCTACATGTAAGGACAAAAGGGGTGTAACCACGACACGGTACCAGATAGGAACACCATGAACATTTGTTAGTCGAACAAGCAGAATAAGTCATAAAAAATTCGTCAAAGCATTATATAGAGCGACTGCTACACAGCTGGTCTAGAATGCCCCTATTATAAATGGTTGTCTAAACAGATCACATTCATAGAAAACGACCTACCTCTGAAGGCTTGTTCTTGATGTTTTCGGAAAACCGAGTTCCTGCCTTATTGATAACTCGTTGGTTTCTACGGGCTTGTTCAATACGTTCAGCCGCAGTCAAAAGGAGCCTCCTTCCAAATGAAACAACACTGAGTTGCGAGCAGTGTAGGTCCAGTTATCGAATTCTTGGGTTTTCGCCTGCCCAAAGGAATGTTTATGAAGAGTTCGACAAATTTAAAAAAAACGAACAATTTCTGCATATATACTCCGAGTAAACTTACCCTTGTCGAATTCCGGATCATATTTTATCGCTAGTTGTAGATCAGCGGACGCAGGTAGTTCGCCGTATGTAATCTGAAGGGATACGTAGGTAAAATTGCTCTAACATTCTCTCTAGAATCATTCATGTATCACAAAAGGGGCTAGGCATAGAAGGCATACGTTAAGCGGCAACAAGGTATTAACTAGATAGAAGTCAATCAGCCGTGCTTTGAACCTGACTCGAAAATGGTGAGAATAAGGATAAAAGGATAAAGCATTTGCCGTTGATCAATCCCTTTTTGGGATGCGGCACGCATTCTACTTCCATTTGTACATTCGCAGTGGCGTTTGAATGCGATGTGGCCTATACAATGACTTGCGGGGGCCAGCCGATGTTCAAGTCAGTGTTTTTATCCTCCCAGACAAGTCTGGTACCAATTAACCGACCCCGGAGGGATGGAAGGCTTGGTTGGCCCGGGCGACTCACGACCCAGGATTTGATCCCGGACCGCTCGCGTGGTAAGCGCGCCACTTGTCACTACACCACTTCCGCCCGTGTGCAGAATACACATCGATAAGTGGTGGTAAAAGTTTGCTAAGGAAAAGAACGAAATTGTTTGACACTGGTAATCGCCTTGCTGCTTAGGTTTGCACACCATACTAACATTCCGTGATGGCATCATACTCCACCTTGGACGACGCTTCATGCCTGCCAGCAGACAGGAGGAGCTTCAGCACACAGCACTCCAATGAACGGTTGTTTCAAGCAATTTGCGTGAACGAATGTTGGACTTGGCTATTCATTGAATCTCCTCCAGCGTGATTCATTTCGTATATTAACCTTTGATAGAAGTCGCTACCGGCAAGCATGAAATTGCGGAGCATATTGTTTTGTTTCAAATTAAATGAGTAATGCTCAGGGTCACCTCAGTCTTCCTTGCTTTTTAATTTTTTGAGCTCGATGACTGTTGATTGTTTTCTGTTTCCCATAACGAAATACGTTCTTTCGCAAAATACAAAACATAAATAATGGGCGAATAAATAAATAAATAAATGTGACTCCGATAGCGATACGAGAATACGATAGATTAGGATGGGCTGATAGGGCACGAAGAGAAGAAAAAAATAACATGCACACGGCAAGGAAACAAACACGGAAATTTCAGAAAAACACAATCTCGGGGACATGAAAACGGGAGCGCCTGGCCACTAACTAATTGAATCTAAGAGTATATCAAAATTTACCATTTTTGCGTTGTGCTTTCGCTCTGCCTCGTCAATCCAGCCCTTTTTCGCTCGCTCTTTTGCTAACTCGACGGCTGCCAATTCCTCGAATGAAGCATTATCTTCCGATGTGAACTTGTTCATGTAGGCATCCACTGATAACTCATCCGTTGCAGCTTTCTCCTTCTTTGCACCTTCTTTCAAAACCTTGAAGAGAACAGTCTTGACGTGTACAAAAATAAACGGCTCGTGAAAAAAAAAACAAATACAGAACGAAGTGCCGCACCTCGTTGTCACCCTCACGATTAGCGTATGGAAGTGGTGTGGCTTGTAGCGAGTCGGGAGGTCGACTTGGACCTGGAGTGTCAGGATCGAAATTCGCAGGAGACGTTGGAGCGCGAGCCTGGTGTCCAGGAGAAGTGGCAGCCATTGTCGCTGGACTTGTTCTGATAAGGAAAAGATTATCAACAGTAAAGAACAAAAATGCATGTAATAATACCGTCGATCCGTTCGACGACTAGTGTGGTAACGTAGCTGAAGTTCACGCGCATTTTTGCTATATCGTTGCGTTTCATTGCATCCATATATTCCGTCTGCGCCTGAGCAAAGAAACACATAATTTCACATTATGCAAGTTTGGACTATTGAAAGCAAAAACCCTGCGAGTAAAAGCTAACCTTGAGTTTAGGAAGATCAGGGAAGTAGTCTCTGACGATAATTTTTTCGAGTTTAGCTAGATACTGCTCTTCTGGAAGCACAGTACGGACTTCACGTTGCGTGTGCAGCTTCTTGGGTGACAGCTTTACCACCTTCAAACAGTACCGATGTCAGTTACAAGCCAATAAAACAATTAAGTTGCTATTATATCTCAGGAGTGATAGCGCATTCTGCACTTCGAATCTGAAAACTCAAATATTTACCCTTAGCTGATTTTAGAGCTTTCTCAGGATTTGGGTAACAACAGACCTGCCTATCAATCCAAAGTGTACACTTAACAAACACTCAGTACAGGTGCCAGCAAATTCGCCTACAAAGCCCTGCCACTTTCGTGAGATCTCATAAATATTTTGTTCTGAACATATGATTGATCCTCCTTCATATTCTATTCTATATTTATGGTGTACCTTCACTATTGCCTCAGAAATTTTGTGTAAACTGACATGACAGATCTCGTATTAATCCCACAAATCACTGTGTAACAACTGTAACTTACAACTCAATATCACTACTTATCATCCCCCTCTCTTTCAGCATGTTTGTCGACCACTATCCCTTTTTATAAAAGTTTCACTGCCTTCGCTACAAACTGCTGCATCAACGAATATCTGAGATGTCAACACGTCATCGCATTGCTACAATTGCATGACCTACGGAACGGCTTTCGGTTACCAGTTCTCGAAATTTGCCATCATCACACTCTGTCTACTTTAAGTGTCCACACGAAACCGCATCAACACTTTGTTTGAGCTAGGAATGCGATGGCGAATTCAGGAACACACACTATAATGATTAACCTAGTGCGTACCGCGCGATGCAAGTAGTACCCCAAGCCGCAAGTGAGATCGTTCTGCTTGATTAGCTAAGCATTTTATCACCATTCTAGAATTAGGTATGATTTTGGGATCCGAAAACAACATGTACACTAGTATTCATCGAATTTCTAGGGGATTATTAGCTACTGATCAGACAAAAGATCGAAAACTACACGAAATGCAGTGGTTACATTAGATTAAGCACTAAGTGATGAATATGCACATTGCTGTTCTCCCGCCTGGACAAAGAATGGCACGATGTGAAAGCACATTTTTTCACCAATAATTATCATCTGACATAAAGAAACGCGCTAACAGCATGGTTTACATTGATGAACCTTCTATTAAAATTCAGTAAACTATAACTCAAAAATCAATTGTAAGACTACGACAGGAAAATTACTTCCCGGCCCTCACTTTAGACTCTACAGTGAAGAGCTGGGAAGAACAGTATTGCAGATTCTGATGTATTATAGAAGAAACACTGATTCTTCACTTGTGTTAGTTGCTGGGAAATACGACATGGATACGCTTCGAAAAAAATGCTCTCCATAGTTTGATCAGATTTTTTCATTAAAATATGAATCCTTTTTTTCCGATACCCCTACTTCTAAATAAGAGCAATTGATCCCTCAGCACCATTGAAGATTCGCCGTTCCACCTCTATTTTTGAACAATAAGCCCGCGATATTTTATGAACAACTTATTTTTTACGATGCTACCAGGGTTCTTTAATAAAGACACTTCGAAATGCCAATCCTACCTTTCCATGATTTGCCGACTTAGGTGCCACGGCGTACTTCGCACGTCGTTCCTCATCATCGAATGAGGACATGATACTGGTTGTTGAGCAACGTCAAACCTGGCAACGAATCTGGTGACGATTCATGCGCACTTTCTTAGTGTGGATGGTTACCGATAGATCAGAGCATTAGTTGGAACTTAAGCCACAGCAATCACACAACAAAAATCAATAAAAATGTTTACCGCTTTTCTTAAAAAAAGAATAAAAGTTCTCTGTAGGAATATTCGTAGAAATATCATGGAAGGATACGTCAAATACAGAATCACACACCGACATATATGAGGCACAAAGCGCGATACCACTCACTATCAGCAAAGGCTGCAGGAGACAGCAAACCAGAGAAAGATTATGCTTGTGATCGTTAAGTAACAAAACACATTAGAATGGCTCGAATGGGTCATAGTGGTATATGACCATTTCATGAACCCGACTTAAATTAGATGACTATTATATATTTACAAAGCATATAGAGCATGCCTTTGAAGTTAAACGAGCAGAATAAATATCCTAAGATCTGGCATCTGGGATCTATTGATCTAGCAACTAGTAAACGCGCGTAAACAAGCAACCGGATTGCCCACTAAACTTTTGCAATTATCCTGCCCCAATCCCCTAAAACCATATAGAACGAGTCGCAATGACGGTCAGCAATCTAATTTTCATGAAAGCGAAAGAAATATCAGCGGCAAACAAAGAGGAATTGATAAATGATAAATGACTAACAACTTATCAACATATCAAATTGAGCTCAAAGCTGAGTGATACATTATGCACTCCTTTTTAAACACTAAAAGTGAGACAAACTGGAAAGAAAATGCGATCAAGGCTTCACTTGATTCTGGCTAGTCCAGTAGGTAGCTTGTATGGCTGAACGTAATTGGCAGGCAGCATACCCCATTGTAGTGTGCGTTGAACTGTTCCAGTCATCCAACCATCATCCACTTTCTCACAGTTTACAATGACATCACCTTCCAGGAATGACACCTGAAACAGAAAATATTAATGTGAGCACCGAAAATGGGGATCCTGAGTTTATGAAAATCGAAGAAACTTTATTCCATTCTATAACATTTCGCTGTTTACCAATATTATATCCGGAATATCAAATGCGACTAGCGGGCCGATCAATCAAATAATAACACCTTGTTACCTGTGTTATTTCTTACCTTACCTTGCCTTCTTCCTTATTCATCCCAGCTTAATAAGATGCCCACTCTCAAATGGATAACTGAATTTTCACATTTCAGAAGATCCACAAAGGCGTAAAGTAAACCCCTCACTTCGTCTTTATCTGCAGCGGTGTAGTCATAAATTGCTTTCACAGCAAATCAGCGCTCCGCTGTGAAAGAGATTTAGCAGCACCGGACGCAGCATTACGTCCACTTTCTGTAAAATCGAGACAGTATCGGGTTTCTGAACCTAAAATCAAAACACATTTTAAGGCTACTACTTTTCGAAAGTGGTCCTCGATATTATGATACAAAGATATTTCATAGTACATTGACAATCCAGTTTTTACCCACATCCTACACTAGTTTTGTTTCTTTTATTCGAAGAAACTTGACACCCAACTACTATCTATGACGCAATCAACAGGGTCGCATGTGCATTCGCTTCCGAAACGAGCATCAGTGCAGACTCATACACACAAGCAAAATCCTCTCAAGTATGTCTGGTACGTAGTGTCATAGTGATAGCTAATTTTGTAATAACTGCAATTATTGATCTAACTGATAACAACACAGGCTGCAACAGGCTATCATTTTATGTAGAAACGTTAGATTTCTGCGGAGTGCGCGCACTTGTATGTATCGCCTACACCCGACAAACTTCTTGTTTTCTGAAAGGGAGAATACACACATGTGGCTGCAACCACAAACAATAATAGCTGCACGTTTGCGTTTGGCAGCTGCCACAAATATGCCAATAATAAGGAGTACCACCACTGACTGCTATCTAATATCGTACGGTATTACGTATCCGAGGCATAACTTCCCAAACAGCCAGGCCGTAGAAGTAGGATACCTCCACACAAACATATGAACACAGGTACAAGAGTAGTGACAGGAAAGAATACACCTGGTGACTTGTAATTCTACACTAATTGGTATTCCTTATAGGCCTGTATGACGACCCATCAGGGGTTTCAGTTGTATCTTCAGCGCAATTCCACACCCGCAAGTGAAAACAATTGTCTGCACACTAGCACTGGATCACGCTGCACTTAGAAGCACGCCATCGCAGAGCCATCAACTGAATGCGTATATTACATTTTAGCGACACATTGCAATAGAGAATGCTGAATGAGACGGCAATCTTTATTGCCCGGCAATAGCAAACACGTGTGTGATGTGCAAAATCTCGCGCTTCAACTTCGTTCTATCGCTACCACGCATTACGCCACTTCTCTCGTGGTTCCAATAGACTTGTCAAACTCTGCTGATCAAGCTGTGGTCGCAAGTTGCAATTTACATCAAGATTTTGAACTCAGACCTTTTTTTAAACAAAAAGAGTTTTTGAGATAATAGCTAGTTGAAACAAAGTATGTAAGCTTCGGAGTAGCAGAACTGAACTACCAAAGAAATACAAAGAAAGCCAACGTGTCAGGCATGCTACGAACTCACTGTTTGCTTCATTCGTCTTGCTTTGTGCTGCAGTACCCCAGCTTCCGTTCAAAGGATCATAATCAGCTATGCTGCCTACGACACGTTGTTGAGGCTGTTGCGCTGAAACTTAGTCTTGCAGCAGCAACTAAAAGGAAAACACAAATACAACGGTATTTACTCAACAAAAGCATTACTGAATAGAGCTATGAAGCATAACTACTTGGTCACGTTTTTGAAATCTGGCTAGACATTCGACAAAGCCACACAACTGTTGGAAAAAATAGCTGTTCACAAAATTCACATGCCTGTAGCAGTGTTATCAGTCGAGTAAATTAATGTCGACTGATGCCCATGCGGTTGAGCGATGTTATGGCTTCCGAAATCGGGAATGGACACACCATTCTCTGGTAATGGTGAGCACACAACTCTGCCAAGCCCTGTAATAACAATCGCATGCAATTAATCTATTCTACTGACAGTATTATAGACCACGACGACATGAGCGTAACTCGCACCATGGAGAAGGCGTCGAAGACATTAAAGAAGTTAATAGAAAAAGCTACATCGTGTACAGTCCATTACCCACGGATGAGTTTGATCCGTGATCACTAAGCTGTCGCTACATGTTTCATCAAGGTGCCATGTTCATACTCAGCGTTTTGGAGAATAGGAGAAACCGAGAAAAGGCAAAAAATACGCATTGATAAAAGAAGAGGAGTAGAAGATCTCGTGAAAAGTTGGTTTCGCGGGCTCTACCATTTTCCTATCCTACCCTCTCGAACGATGAGTATGAACGCGACTTAAAGGCCCACGCTAATAGATAGCAAAGTTTGCAGCTGACAGCTCGGAAACTACAGGTGAAGGACATGAAATTCTACTTCACAGTATAATACTGTACCGTCTCATACTATTGAAAAAATTATTATAAAACAAAAACTAACTATATTAGTGAATAAATCGCTTATGAGCCAGTTGCTCTCGCTATCTCTTCATGACACGGCGTTTGTTGCAGGCTTTGCTGACTCAGCCTCTTCATCGAATCGACAACTGACTTCAACTTTTTACGTGGCCTACCGCATGTCTTTAATAATGTATTTTGAATCCAACCAACGCGATTATGTAAATACCTAGCGCAGCTTCCAAGATATCCATTACATATCTTATCTATAGAAATAATGGTGATACTCGGAATAAATGCTAATTTCTTGAACTAAAGAACAAGCTTGTAGCTTAATAACCTTTTATATGCCTGACAAATCCGGTATTCTGCTTAATCTCTTTCATACATAAAAATAATGAAAACAACTAGTAAGAACACTTTCTTTTTTTATTTTTTCAGACACTTTTTGTCTATATCCGTCACCACGCCGTATTTTTTTTATTTTTTATTGTTGCTGCAAGATAATTCACTTTTTTGATAACTTCGTCTTCGTCAATTTTGTATATAAGAAAACGTATTCAAGAAAATGGCATCTTCTTTAAAAGCGCGCTTCAGGCTGTGAAATTCAGCAGTCAAGTAGATATGCATTTGGCGAGAACATATCATCTTTCAGATTGCTCAGAAGTGATTCAAGAAGTTCCAAAAAGTGATAAGAACGTTGAAGATGTCTACAAATACGGTGGGAAAGGGCTTCTTAGACTGATAAAAAGAACTGTTCCAGAATTGATGTGAAGACTACAGGATTTGGTTTTCGACTTCAAAAAACGCAATCCTGTTCCATGGTATTTTCTCGCTCGAATTAATCGATAATAAAAAACCTAAAGCTAAGAATCCAATAATTATTCAGATATCTAGGATATCATTCAATGTAGCCTAAGCCTTCTTCCTCAGTGCGCTGAACATATTTTTGCGAATGTTTTTTAATACACTGCTCTCCCACCCAAATTGTCAAGTCGACTTTAACTGTTTCAATGTTTGAAATTCCAACCTATTTGTCATGTGCAACACTAAACAGAATAGAACTCTTTATAGGGGTGCAACATGACAATTTGAGCAGTGAGAGAAATGAGCAAACGCAAACTGGGCTCACCATAGAACGGCTGACGCCAAAATAGCATCCATTACTGAGAACGACTGACTAGCATGCTATAAAGCAAGAACTTAAGCCAAGTAAGCCAACTACAAGATTAAATGCATCTTCACAAGATCTTAAGCCTAGTAAAACTTCATGAAGCAGCGAAATAAGCGGGTATTGCAATGAATATATATAGCATTTGTTCATAAGCTTCATTTGGCCGATGCTTTGACTGCTGCAGACTTAGCTCCTTTCGTTGGAGCTGCTGACACTTTTGCATCTTTTGGCTGTTTTTCCTCTACTGCCTGTATTTCGGGTTTTTCCTCTTTTGCCTCTTTTGATTTGCCTGAACAGAGGAGTATTCTTGACAGACCTTGCGTTCCTTTGAGCTTTGCTATTATTCCAAAGTGTTTCATATGTTAACAGACATCAGCAGAATGCACAGTATATGCAATACAATCTTCACTTATGTAAATATAAATAGAAACATAGCAGAATTTCATAAATCGTTCTAATTGACGTTCATCTCCTCTGTGAAGTTGAGATGTTAAAAACTGCACTAACCAGAAGCTTCTGCTGGCACGTAAGTCGGACGAACTTCTTCCATTCTTTTCCTTTTATCCAATTCTCCAGTATAGGCGACTTGTGATTGTGCCTAAAAATAGAAATACTCAGTCAAACCTATATAAAAAATTACACCATAAATGATCTTCTGAAGTGTATTTCATTGATTTCTTCGAAACGCTTCTTGGGGATTTTTTCGGCACCGGTGTATTGGCAGTAGTAAATGGCAACCTCGAGGTGAGTAGCATGTAAGATAAAGAATCCGCATACCCTTCTTCAAATAAAACGCGCATATTCTTATTCTGTGCCGTACTATACGGTTATGGCTCCCCCACTTTCTTCACACTTCGGGGCGCGGACGAGTTGATAGTGCCCTCGGAACTGGCCGCAACCCAAAAAGGGATTGGAGTCGTCACGTTAATTAATTTTTTTTTCAGTACAGATGAATTCTCAATAAGTTGATTTAGACTGCATGCATTTGGTAGAAGAATGTCGGCAAAATTAGTTTAGCAAAAAAAAATCCTTGCATCATCGCTTTAGTCAGCTGCAGGCAAGCGGTGCCGAATATTCTACAGCTAGAAACCGATATTAACACCTGTTACCTTCCTTCTGGTTTTTCTGTAGATGTCATGTGGCTTGTTCAGGTGCAGTATCACGCCGCCTATGAAAAAACCAAAGGAACCAAGATTGAAGTAGCAGATGATCCGGAAATGGAGCGTCACAGAAAAAACATGCAGGTAAAACGCGTTACAATGGAAAATGAAACATATTGGTAAAAAAA